GCAAATCAGGAGCTAATTTGCATAATTAATGAGGAAATTACTATAAATCTGCTTTGTTCGATAATAGAACTATGACATCACTTGTGAGAACGAGAAAAAACATCTGAGGATATAGATTATGTAAATGAGGACCTAATTTGCATAATAAATGGCAAATTTTTATAATTTCATAGTTGTAACTGCTGGGAATTTCATACTTGCCACATTTGGAAGTTAAGTGAAGGTGAACATCAACAAACATAATTTATTCAAATAATGGCCTAATTTGCATAATATATGAGGAAGTGCTATAATAGCATTTTTGTTAAGATAAGGCTGTTATTGGGTGGAGAATATGATCAACTGATATAATCCATGCAAATGGGGCTCTTATTTACAAAATCAATGATTAAAATTGTATAATTTGTCAACCACAAGGGTTAACATCATTTGGCGAAGGTATGAGATCGTGGAACTCTTGTTCACCCTTAAATACCTGATTATGATTGCAGCGATTTGGTGGCTACCGTGCTAATTAAGGCATTTTATCCTCCTTACGTATACGGAGATACATTCACATCTCACATGGACCACACAAATGCGCCCCCAACGGTTGCTTAATTTAGTGCAGCGATAACTCGTGGGGACAGTTGCCGCAACGTATTTCCGAAATTCTGTGTTTTTGCTTCATCTAACTTAAAAGAGATTCACCTACAATAGTCCGGAGAGTATACACAACAATTTCGGGTACAACTTACCACCAAAGTGCGCACGGAGCGTCTTTCTGGGCGGAATTTTTACCCGCTCGTTCTTCCCGTGGCTTCCATGCACTCTCGCCATCTTGGAAAGGTGTGTTTGTGTGCGTGAAGCACAGGTGCACGTGCCACCCGTACATCATGAGCAAAATTTGAATTTATTAATCAAGTTATACAACGGAACAATAAACAATCATCCCATGTGCAGGCCTGAAAACTATGATGATTTAATTATGGCTTTATCTTAAAAGTTTGAAAGTCTCACATTAATTTTCTATATATATCCTCCTTTCTAAATTTAGGAGGGTAAACACACCCTCGTAGTTTTCCAATAAATTGAAATAATTTTTGTTTTATCCATTTTTCCTTTAAATTGCGACAAGTACATCCTCTAGCCAGTAGGTGACAACTTACAAATATTACAGCTATTGCGATAAACGCCCACAGTCTCTTTGTCGACGATTTTCTAACTGAAAATCCAGTTTTACTGCCACGAAATCACGACGGGTGCCTTATAAAACGTTTACGTTAATCATTATACTTTGAACAAGCCATTTATCTATACAGTAATCCAATCGCTTTCGAATGAATACATCAGAAACGTTTAGAACCATGGCACATTTTTTTCATTACCCTGAGGAGTGTGATGATGCATAATTACAACCAAAGCACATTGCAAGTTGGGTGTTTTTGTTCATTGGACGGCAGATACACATTCTTACCTTTTAATATAATTATCCCAAGCTATGGACATGGCCGTTGACATCAGTGCAGCGAAGATCGATCATGCATTTATCATGTGCATCTTGACGAAAACAGGAACGTCAATTTTTGATCTCTTCAAATCTTCGATTCCAGCGCTTCACAGCATAATCAGTCAGTATTGCCCTGGAGAAGGACTACCGATACCTTGACTTGTTATCGGTTGTGTAACTTTACAAATAACATTGACATCATCATATTTACGTGGCTGTTGTGTGTGTGTCAAGGGTTAGATGGATCATCTTCAAGATATTTGGTAGGTATTCAGGAGAGCTCGAAATGATTAGATTTTGGGTCCCCTGGCGGCTTGGTATTGTACTATAGCTGAACTTACAGTTTTGATATCCCTTGATCTGGTATATATGGTCATGGTTTTTGGATGGTAAGTAGCTCTTTTGCTCTGGAAGAAGTGACGTAGGTTTGGGCCTAGCAAAGTAATTTTTCCAATAAATTGACCCATTTATTTTTCAAATTGTGAACATTTTCTATAGCTAGTAGGTGACATTACAGATAATGCGATAGATGCGTCAAGGAATGTACGTCTCTTTATGGACAATTTTTGTGTGGAGGTTGTTACTCACATTGTTACTCTCATATCATTGAGGTATATATGATAGATCTATTATACCTCCATGCATAGTAATAGTTTCATAAAGAATAGGAATATTGCGTCTTTAATGGGTCATGCATCTCCATAATAATAATATTTTTTAAATAAGACTATGGTTTCGTCACATTGAGGAACAACAAAAAAGATGCTGCAATTCCAACTTAAGAAGCCAGGGGGCCTTTTATTGGTGCAATATCAAGCGAAGAGATACAGAGTATGTACTAGTCTACCTAGAGCAATTGCCATTCTCTTCACAGATATAAGTGGCACTGCAAACAAATAAATAGAACAAAACAACCATATATGCTTGTGCGCAACGTTGATACAGTGAAACACATCAAAACAAATGATTATCCAGCACACCTTATGGGTACATCTAGCAGTGAGGGCAAACTGTACGGAAAATAGAAGCTGTGTCTTAACCAGAATACTTTGCATAAAACATGCTGCGTTAGTCCATTTGTCCATAATGTCCACAGCAGTTTTTCCCAAAAATCTTTCAAAATTAAAACCACTTCGATCCAAAAAATGTTTTTTTTTATGAAACACTTCATCTGTAACCCAGGGTGTTTCATTTTCCTACCCAAATTGACAAAAAGTTCTGAGGGTCATATTATTGTTTGTCAGTCACAAATAATTTGATTTCTGGGGATAAAAGGCAACTGTCATTCCTTGAAATGAAATTATTACCAGGTTCTGACTACTCCTCACAATGCATATCAATACTCAACACCAATCCATACATGCTTAGAATCTAGCATAGGACATCATTTTCTTCATATCTTTCCTCAAACCTCTTGATGTAGATGTATTAAGATAATAACACATTCACAGGCGCCACTCACTCAAGTTGTGTTATGTTTGAGGGCTATCAATCAAATAAAAAAAAAGCTACCATTTTGATCACTTTAAAATAAACTCTTCCCAATCCAAAACTGTTGTTACAAATTTTATCATGTGCATTCAATGGCAGTAACATAACACAAAAACATACATTCAGAGTAAATGGTCGCACAATGTGAAAAATAAAATCGCAATCTCAAATAAGTTAAAATACATAACATGTAGTAATTCTGTTGTAAGTATGGGAATTGCTCTAGTTACTTACACATTACACTGCTGTCAAGAGATCAGATTCTGGTTAATGTTATGGTTTTGCTCAGTTTCTGCCAGTGCTGTTGAAGACAAGGCAACAACTGCTAATACAAGAACAGTCTGCAGCAGAAAAGTCAGTTGGAAACTATCAGTGACTTCTTAAGCATTGCACTGAATCAGTTTTTATCTTGAAAGCCGTTGCCACAAAAGTTATTCCACATCATCACTGGCCTTGCTTTGTTCTAAATTCAAGCTGTAGCTCAAATTATGTACATCCGACTTCAGCTTTTCGTAACAGATAGGGAGCAAATAATTTTGAAGCAAAATGTTCAAGCTAACCGACACTGCATACAATAAAGGTTTTCATGCAATCTCTTTAAGAAGTGCGATTAAGCAACTAAATCTTATTATCTTCCGATTCTGACTCCTTTGCAAAGTTTCTTATCTGTTAAAATGCATTTGCCACATTGACTACAACAAAGCAAATTATTAATATATTACCAC